AACGCAGGGGCGCACTATTGTTCCTATCTCCCATTGAGAGTGTTATCGGCAATGATATCCTGATCGTATCATTGTCTTGAATCAACTGACGCATTACCTTCATGTTTGAGCTGGACAACGCGGCCATATTTGGTGACGAACTTTTCAAAAATTATTGAGTACCTCATTTTCAAGGTCGACGAAGTTTTCAAGGGGAAAAAAATTACCTCGGCGGAAAATCGTCTGCCGACGAAATTTTCAAGAACGACGAAATTTTCAAGACTTTACCGTAGCATGTAGTCTTTAGGTCAAGCTTTAAAGATGTTAAACAAGAATTTTGAGCTTTTTTTCTTTTTTTTTCCGTACATTAATTTTATCTCAGAGCCTTACCACTACATTGATTAATGAACATGCTGAATTGGAATGAAGTGAATTGCAAAAGTAGCTTAGAATCCAAGATAGCTGCCACCAAAATTACTGAGAGAACGTTTGAACTTTTGAAATGTAATGCTCAAAACCTTCATTCCTTTTCCATTAGGTGCCACTTTCTCTATAGCAGAGATTCTTGAAAATTAAAAAGATCATAGAATTTCAAATAAATGCACCACATGCATGTTTTAAACCTGCATTCCTTTCCTACGGATAGTCTAGAAAATATGAAACTTTGATATTATAGATAAATTAAATGTAAAAATTTCGATATGAAATTAATCTGTTCAAATTCACTTTTTTTTTTTTTTTGCAGGCACAGAGCTTCCTATGTATGCCAGTTTCTCTCCAGCTGAGATTTTAGACCGCCACCTCCAGCTAGGAGGTGAGAGGCATGCTAAAGAAGTGAGAAATCTCTCCCTCATCAACCTGGAGCATGTGAACTGGACACATTTTGGAGGTACACGGGGGCTTCTTGTGCTCACAGCATGACCGACTGCTTTTTTTTTTTTTTACTGAAGTCAGTAATTTTTAAGGGGGAAGGTGTTCTTTTTAATTTTTAGTATACCTTTTTACCATACTGACTTATAATAGCAAGGAACTTATATTAAACATTTGATTCTGACCTTTTCACCACCCAGTTTTTTTTCTGCCAGGTGCTTTTTATTTTAAAAGTTTTACCTTAGGATTCAGTATTTGATTTTGGACCCAATAATTTCTTATATTTTTGACCTAACTAAATTGTTTGCTAACATGAACTTATTTAAAGCTTTATGTTATGGTTTATTTATTTAGGAATGGATGTTGGTCTTAAGATGTCTTTTTTTACACATTAATAACATGTTTTAATATCATAATTCAACTTAAGGATGATTATTTTCTACCAACCACTCATTATTGTTGCACAATTGGGAATTTATTTTTTGACAAACTTTTATGTTGAACCTTATTTTGCAGAATGTCTTTCATTTTGGTTTTCACTCTGTTTTATTTTTGACTTGGTTTTGAAATTAATATAAATATTTTGTTTCTTTGTTGAATCAATAATAGTTGTGTTAAAATTTTCTTCTCTTTGCCCTATTTTATTTTGCATTTCTTTGTTTATTTTACAGATGCACGTAAAGGTATTCTGTTTGTCAGTCATTTGAAATTATTCTTTTGTATTGGTATGGTTTGGTAGAAAATATCCTTAACAACTCACCAGGGCAGTAAGCTTTACTTTACAATCAAAAGAATATAATTTTTTCAAATTAGTTGGAGGTATGCGCATAGTTAAAAGGTGCTAGTTGTCAGTAACTTCATTTTAGTAAGAAGGGTCTTCCACTTTAATCATCATTTTCACAGATCTGCAAACTGCCCTCTGTACACTTTTAAAAAATAATTAAAATGATTATCCATCATGCTGTCAAAGGTCATCATTTTTTGCATTTTGCCTTGTACTCTCTGAGGGGGGGGGGGGGGATCTGGTAAAGGTACACTCTTGAAAATGATGAAAAAAGTGGACAACCCCTAACTTATATATTCCAAATGATAAATTAAAAGTTGGTTGGAAGCCTGGTTATGGTAGGTTAGATTGCAAATTCTTATTGTAGTTAGCAAATGGGTCATGGTGGAGGAAAATTGGCCTGATTTATTCCTCATAGAACAAGGAAACTGGCAAAGAATTTCATCAGCTGTGTTATGCATTCAGATTCACAATAATAGCACTTCACACAACAGCTAAAAATCATAAATATTATCACATTATTGTACCACCAGCCTTAGCGCTGGCGGTACACATGGTTTCGGTCCCGTCCGGATCGTTCCGCCGGCTCTGCCGGCTCCGCCGGCTCCGTTGGCTCCGCCTGCTCCGCCGGACGGCTACCGTTACCGCTTCTCCTCCTAGACGGTAAGGGCCCCCGTACCCATCTCATGGATTTAGGTCACCTATAATCTCAACTCGTTCCACGTAAAATTTGGGCTTTGTCGGTATTGGGGTTTGGGTGTGGCACTCATTGCAATGCACCCTTGTCTAAAAATGGCAAAATTAAATGCTAATTATCTACCCTACGGAAGGAGTTATGGGAAAAATTTCTATAGACGGCTTTCCAAAAGTCATATGTGTAGATTTCAAATATACCCTTGGATTTGACCTTTGACCTTTACTTCAAGGTCAAATGGGCCAAAATTTTCAAAAAAATGAAATTTTTTACGAAAAAAAAATTATTTGCCCTGTTATTCAGACACCACACAGACTTAACCAATAATATTATTGGAAGGTGTTACCCTTCAGGTCATCTTTCATCTCCATGAATTTGGGGTCAATCGGTGCATTTTCACGGGAGTAGCGGCCATAAGATACCGAAACTGAAAACTGTCTCTAATTCGGGAACCGTTAATGCTAGAGACCCATTCTTTTTTGCATTTTGTAGAGCATGTAAAGCCCAACACTGGAGGTGGTCTCGGTTTTTTTGTATTCCATACGGTTTTCGAGTTACGCTGTATCAAAAAGTACATATTGGTGGTAAAAGCAAAATGTGCAGTACGGTAATGGATAATAAATTTTGAACTCTGGAAAAATAAAACATAAGGCTTGGCAAAGCAGACAACTTGTGTTCAAAAATGACAT